CCCCCCCCCCCCCCTACCCTGGATTTTCCTGCGTGTCGGTGTCCCCCTCGCTTCGTGCTTGCTTTTGCTTGCAAGGTCGTTAGAGCTCTCCACTCTACCGGCGTGACCGTTTTGGGCGGTCCCAGGGCGGTGGACCTCGGCGTGGTGGGAGGGGACAAGATATCCCCGGGTTTCAAGACGGAATACGGCGAGTGTAGTACAGTATTTATTTTCACGAATGTCTGCACCTTTGTGCGCCCTCTCTTATTGGTAACCGAACTTGCCGTGTTGAGTATCATGAATCTGTGTAAGGTTCTGTTCCCTTGCTTCGTTGGAATTTTTTGTTTTGGTTTCTAAGCACAGAATATGGTAGAAAATGGGCATGTGCAGGGTCCGCTAGAAGCGCGTCTGTTGCAGCTGTTTCAACTCGTTGTCGAGATTGTCTGTCATTCGGAGGTCTCGCCTAGCTAGCGCGGGTCTCGCCTAGCGCCCGGATGAGAATATCGGTTGAGAACACCACCTAGCTTTGTTTGTCAACTGCCTACATCAGGCGGTGGTTGCGCATCTCGGTTTTCGGAAGGAGTTGATTCAGAAGCCAAGCAGCGCATAGAGTAACCCGCCCCACCCGCCGACAATTTTAATTACCGAATGAAGGTGACTTGACAGTATCGCTGGAGATCGTCGACAGCGTGGAGGCTGCCCTGGATCACATCCAAATGTACGTGAACCGTACAGTTCAAATGGATGCCTCCTCTTTGCTGTATCATCCTTTCCGCAGCGATTCGGGCGTGTGCACCTTTGCGACTTGTGTGCAGTGCACACATGAACGGTTTTGGAGGAGACCAGACACAAAAAATCAGACCACCTCAGTCACTGATTCGCGGTCAGTGAACAGAAGGACAGACGTAATCGGTGAACAAGACGCTGGCTGTTCGCGTACACGGCAGTGGCATGGAATGAACTACGCATGAACTGCTCAAAATTCCTTGCGAACTCACATTTTTCTCTCTTCTACATCTTCATACCCCGCCACATCCGAAGACGCAGGTCTTGCTGCTCAAATGCTCCCGAATCAGTCACACTTTGCTCTGTTCTACCCACCATATACCAAAGCCAAACTGGTCATGCTCAAGATGCTTGGCCGTATGTTCCAATCGCATTTATTTTGTACCCCACCACATTCTAAAGCAAAAAGTTTTTTTTACCTCCGTTTTCTTTTTTGGCGGTAACCATAATGGTGGTCGAGTAGATCATGTTGTGCGGGGTGGAGAACCCTCCCCCCGCGCAAGGGGGATGATCGCACCACGTTGTGTTAAAATGGTCAAGCACCCTCGAGGCAGTTACACAGTGCTTACAACTGTCTCTGGAAGTGAAAGCACCAGAAAATAAATTAAGTCATACGCAGCTGTCATCCGTACGCAAGGAAGTAAGCACAAGATGCCGAACACCCTTAGCAGGATGCAGCGCACCCTTCATGCGACTCGCCGAATATCTCACGGCGCTTCGCGCTTGGTGATGTGAGAGCCTGGTCCGGTGAGAACCCGGCGTGCTCCGTCCCGGCTTTGTAGGGATGCGAGGTCAATGGTCTAACGACTACGGCATGCACGACTATGAGTACACCCCACATTCTAAAGCAAAACCTGTCTGCTCAACACGCGTCCCGAACGTTTCGATCTTTTTTCATCTCCTACACCCCCGAAGGTTCGGGTCAAGCCACACGGAGACCATCGTGACGGAGGACCAGGACGTGGCCAAGATGTTCCTCGAGACCGTGGACAGCGCGTGCGTTTTCCACAACGCCTCCACACGCTTCTCGGACGGATACCGCTTCGGCCTTGGGGCAGAGGTAAGCGGGACGTGTAGGAATATGACGATTTTCTGGTTTCTTGGGGACCGACGGAGGGGGCACGCGGGCGATGTAATGTAGGCACACTTTGGACACCATTTTTCCTTTTGGGAGGTGGTTCTTGATGCGATCGATGTAGTCACGACTTTGCCGGGGTCAAGCAACGGTGCTCTGTAGCTTTGCGACACGTTTCTGAAAGTGAACACAGCAAGGGGGGTATGGATGTGTACTGGAAGTTGAAGAGGGTGCCCTCACTGCCAAGAGAGTTCTGGCTCGCCCCGTGGTTTATCCACCCTTTTTGACCGCGTTTTTCGCCGATCCGGGCGCAAACGAGGAGAAGACAGACTGTGAGAACGGTGGCTTCGACCGGCAAAGCTTTACAGAATCTCAGGGTTATCGTACCGGAGTTAGGTTGTCCCTCAGACGGATGGCATCGATAGTGTGACTCGCAGCGGTAGCGGATTGTAGGGCTGTTTTCTCCTGCTGGTCCCTTAAAAAGTTGTGGCCTCGCACCCTCTCTGCCGTAGTGCTGTAGCCCCTCCGTGACCCGCACCTCCATTTGTGGGAAACGGTGTGTGATGTTCGCGCTGTTACACTCGAGCTTATTAGCATTCTGTACCAGCGAAATCCGAGTGGGGTTCTCCACGGAGTCTTTGACCCATCAGTCGCGGTGTTGCTGTCGGCGGCATTCGCAGTATTCATGACCGCGTAGGCGTCAAAATCGCCCGGAAGACGACAGCCGTCGCACATTGTCCTTGTCCTATGCCGGCGTGCCTGCCTCTGTTGACACACGTACTTACGTGTTCCCGTGTCGTATCCCCCCCCCCCCCCCCCC